ACTGCAAGAGTTGTCTGTGGAATGACAGTGTCCGGAGATGGCAACGCCCAGACAAAGTTCAAGTGCCAGCCGCCAGACTTTGCAATGAAGCTGCTAATGAACGAAACGGGGGGAACGGGGGAACCGAGTGCGGAATGAGATGATAGCAAACTTGGAATTGAGTTCTCTGCTAAAAAGCTACAATTTATTATTCATGTAAGGCGATTAAGATAGGGCAATTCATTTAGATTCCAGAAACTTCGAGAAAGTTAAGGGAGGACCGATAGAAAAAAGCTCTGAAATTTTAATATTTTCACATAGATTTTAATATTAATGCCATTGATTTTCATCCAAGAGTGGTTGTACTAAAATTTAATATTTTTCACTTACATTTTGATATTAATATGAAAATATTTAAATTTAATATGTTTTATATTTAATGTTAATATGTTTCATATTTAAATTTAATATGTTTAATATTTAACTAATTGTTTCATATGAATTTAAAAATATTTTATGCTTATATTTAATATGTTTCAGCGATAGAAAAAGCCCTAAAATTTTAATATTTTCACTTAGATTTTAATATTAATGCCATTGATTTTCATCCAAGAGTGGTTGTATTAAAATTTAATATTTTTCACTTACATTTTGATATTAATATGAAAATATTTAAATTTAATATGTTTCATATTTAATGTTAATATGTTTCATATTTAAGTTGAATATGTTTAATATTTAAATCTAATATGTTTCAAATTGAATTTAAAAATATTTAATGCTTATATTTAATATGTTTCACCGATAGAAAAAAGCCCTAAAATTTTAATATTTTCACTTAGATTTTAATATTAATGCCATTGATTTTCATCCAAGAGTGGTTGTATTAAAATTGAATATTTTTCACTTACATTTTGATATTAATATGAAAATATTTAAATTTAATGTGTTTCATATTTAATGTTAATATGTTTCATATTTAAATTTAATATGTTTAATATTTAAATCTAATATGTTTCATATTGAATTTAAAAATATTTTATGCTTAAATTTAATATGTTTCATATTTATATTGAGTATACTTCATTTTTAAACTAATCGGTTATTATTATTGCCTACGCGGACTACATTTCAAGTCCTCAATGTATGAAATTCACACTGTGAATTGGTTAAAGTTTTCAACTAGAATAATTTCATTTAATATGGAATATTTAAAATAAAAACTTTTCTTTTGATTTTAAAACAAAAATTGTAAAATCAAGTCATAATAATATTTAATTTAAATATGAAACATATTAAACTACAATTTTAATATATTATAGTTATTTTGAAGTGTTTTGTATTAAGATTAAATATGACCGTATTAAAAAAGCCATTTTAATACAATTATGTTTGAATCAAAGTGAATTCTATTAAATTTTACTGTTTGTATTTAAAAATGGCATTTTAAATTCAAATATGATTGTAGTTATTTTTACTATGCCTTTTTTCTATCAGTGTTCTCGTAATGCAGTATTTACGTAGTTTAATTCATATAAAAATTTCATTCTGATGATAACAAAAATTTCGGAAATTGAAAGCGGGGAATTTTAATGGATATAAATCTTCTCAGATGTTAGACAGAATGCAACATTCATATATTTTTATTTGATATTACACATTCCAAAGTTGAGAAATTTATATTTCCATTGAGACATTGAGAAGAATTTTCATTATATTCAAAAGCCATAGTAACACAATTTTCATTAAAATGTCTTAAACTTTACCCATATACATACAATCACACTACAACGATACATTCATACATAATATAAAAATGTATATTCCACATGGACCTCACCCAGTACAATGTTAACCATCAGCTGCTTGTCATCTATCGAAACAAATGGTAAAGTTTATTTTCAAGTGCCAGAACATGCGTTTCATTTGCAATAGCCACGACAACAATGGCAGCATTGAAAATTGCAATATGATAGAACCGATTGAACCGAGAGACGGCATTGAAGTCGCATGCCAATCCGATAATGTGTGCCAAGTTAACACAAGAAAAACAAATGAAAGCGCAAATGCTGCTTGTGTTTGATTCTGTTGCTCTGAAGAAAAAAATGCAGAGACAATAAACATTTGAAATCAAATGGAAACCCAAATCGAAATGGAAAACAATATAAGTAGCAGCAGCAACAGGCCGCCAAGAGCTATTCCCAGTTCTTGCCACTTTCTGAGTCTACCCCATATGGCTGTCAGGCAACAGCTGCAGAGCCCCCCAATCGGCATGATTATGTAAATAAGTATCCATATATCGATATGTACATGATAATGCTCATATTAAATTGCCAAACAGCAGCGGCAGCGTCACAGCAATCATCGATGCGTGCATGGCCCATGAATTAGTAACAAAAAAAACGCGGGATAAACTCTTGTGCCTATTCTTCTGGCCATTTCATATTCATAGGCATTGGGGGACTGTAGGAGGTATTGCGTATTGCGTGCTCTGCCTACTATGGCCTATAACTGAGCCGCAGAATCAACACGTGTCTCATGGCGTCGGCTCTGACGGAACTGAATGAATCGATAAGACGTGCTCCCGACTCTCTTCTTAAAAGCAATCGTTATGCGAACAGAGGGAAGCTTTGATTTTTGGTTAATGCCGAATCCAGGAGTTGGTTAACAGTGCTAGCGAATAGTTTTTATGAACGTTACGAATAAATGTAAATATGAATATTTTGAATTATCTAAATAATATAATAAATAAATCGTTGGTCACATCATACAAAAGATGAGAGAAAATAATATTTGCATCTCAGGTTTATCCTATGATATAGCAATAATATTTTTATATTTGTATTAACGGGCGACTTCAGAATCTAAGTAATTTCCATTTGTTTTTTTGCTTCTTGATTAGACACAATTCCCATACAATACAAATGCATTTCCATCAGCATTATTGTGCCATTAGACATCTGCTCCGACTCTTCCTCCCTCCCATGTCTGCCTGCGGGCAAACCGGAGCCCATCAACAATCATTTACTGATGCGCCTACTACTATTTTTTCGTTATCGTCATTAGGAGGCTCTGCTATCAGGCAGATGTACATACATACACCCTTTGAGAGAAAGCTTTTAGTAATATTATCCACGAGTTTGCAATGTATCCATAGGAGGTAGCACCTGCGACCACCATTTAGATATATTCGAATATTCAATAACATTATAATCGGCTGGCTGCTTGATGGATCAGGAACGGTATCAAAAGCTTCGGCCTTGCTTTGTTTTCATTTCTTGTTTTCTTTTTCTGTCTGGTTGAATCCGATTGCCAGAGGGTGAGACGGAGACGGAGATTGAGTGAGGATGAGAATGCTAGGTTTTGTGGGGTAGGTGTGGCCCCACTTGAGGCTTGTCGGCCCCTCATGGCACAGCTGTCTGCCCGTCAGTCGTTTTATAGCTCCCAGTTTGAATTCTCGCCCCTGTCTCATTCTGACTAACATATGTATGTATGTATCTCCGGTCTCTTATTAGCCAGCCCCTATTATGTCCGGATGTGTTTTGCGTTGGAGGCATAATCTTTTTGCATGCTTTCATTTCCTCTCCCATTCGTTCTCTCTCAGAACACTCTTTTTGCTCTGTGTTCTTTGTTTTGCATTTGCAAAGAGAGGATGAATTAAAAAGTTTTGTTCATGCCAAATTACGTCATTACTGATGATCTTATATTTTGTTGTTGTGTTTGTTGTTTTCGTTTGCTGTTGTGCGCGAAATTAGCAATGTTTTTTTGTGTGTGTTTATTTTGAGATTTTGCCGCTTTTTTGTGAATTTTGCATTAGTAATACCCTTGAATACGAGTCGAGTATGTGTGGATTAGATCAGAAGCTCGCCATTAAAACTTATTTAATAAAATTTGCCAATAACATAAATGACAGGCACAAAAAACATACAAACATACATACGTATGTACATATGTAAAAAAAAGGAGAAGAAAAAGTTTAACTACTGCAGGAGTATGCTATTGTAAACTAGAGTTTATTGTAATTTCGAGTAAATTTTGTTGTCCCAAAAAGCATGCCGAGAGCATTTTGAGAATTTTGTTCCGGAGTTGCTCCGGAATGACAGAGGGCAGATCCAGATTGGATTCACAATGCTCTGGTATCATATACAATATGTTTCTAGATTTAAGAACAAAGGAGTATCTAACCAAATTTCAGAAATATTCCATAGGTTTTTTCTTATTCTTAGATGTAGGATTATGTGGAAGTTTTAGCAAGTTAAGCACTTTGGTAGGTCTTATTTCCCAGATTCTGTCAGGCCCTCCCACAAATGTTGAGATCTTCTTCTGTAGAGTGCCGTGAGAAGTCGCATCGAGTGAGGATTTCTTGGGCATCTTATCAAAGTGACTAAGCAAGAATCTCATTAAATAAGGCAAGGGTTAAGTTGCCTACCGTACTCCCTAAACGTTCTCCATTGTTTCCTTTCCTGGCCCAACAATTTCTCGACCATTAGTTTAAACTGATTTTCGAATAAATGCCACATTATGTGCCATTGAATGTCAATTACACATTTATCCATAAGCCAACTGGTCCCGACGCCCTCTTCTCGTTGCTCTCTCCCTCTCTCTTTTATCGCTTTAAAGCCACTCCTCGCAGCAGGAAAATGTGGAAAAAAGCGGAAAAGTGGAAAAGCTAAATTGAAACTAACCCAACCCAAGGAAATATAGCGTGCGAAGCTACCAATTGCCACGCCCACACCATAACCCCTTAACCCATAGTAGGGACACTGGCGAGTGGGTGCGAGAATGGTCGGGGTTTTGATTTTATTACTTTTCAGTGCTCGTTTTTCCAGTGTTAATTAAAAGTGTGTCAATGTTTATATCCGTAAATTGGTTTGGGTTCGTTTTCTTTTTCGAGTAAGCTTAATTAAGGATTATCAAACGTTGGAGACGAAGAGCTGTGGAGAAACAGCAGCTCTGCACAGCTTTAACTTTAATTTCCAATTTATTTATCCTCTATCGATCGTTTTTTTTTGTACTTCCAGCTGCTCTGCGCTGCTTGTGGGATATAAATTGCAATCGAAGCGGAAGCTTTTATGAATGAGTCGTCTGCCAGGAGACGCAGCAGCAGCAGCAGGAGGAGTAGCTACGTGAGCGCCACGGGGGAGTGGGAGAGTGGAGCATCCATATCCATATCCATCCAAGATGGCCTTCAGCTATGCGTGCATGGTGCTGCAGCGCGTCGTCGTTCCGGCGGTGCTGGTTCTGGGTGAGTTACGATCCCCATTGATATCGATTGATATCGTTCATCCAACGACCCATAACGACCATGCCATTATTTATTCTTGTAGCTTCGCTGATGCGACCGGTGGGCATATCATTTGTATACCTTCTCATGTTCTTCATGTCGCCATTTGTGCCTCTGGCCACGCGACGCAACTTCAAGGGATCCGTCACCGCCTTCTTTATCATCCTGCTGTCACTGAGCACTCTAGTCCTGCTGGGGCACATCGCCCTCCAAATACTGGCGGTCAGCACAACGCTGCCCATCTACAACTGCTCCTTCAGCGAGCGCCTGCTCAGGCACATTGGCTTTGTGAGCTTCATCGATCTAAAGTGGGTAGCGTAGCCCTAGAGATTAAAGCATATATTACTCATCCCGATCCTTACCATTCAGGCCCCTGGCCATCATTGAATGGCTCGCCCCGGAGGTCCTGGTGTTTGCCACCTCTCTTGGCTCCTACCTCAGCGTGAAGCGACTCGCTGCACAGCCCATCAATGCCGAGCAGCTGGAGAACGGTGAGCTTATCGAGGCCCAGTCCGGCGACCCCGCCCATACGACTCAGCCCCCCTGTCCCACAGATGCCAATGGCGGAGATGTGCAGCAAGCTACGGCAACGACGCCACTGCAACAGCAGCAGCAGCAGCTGCGGAAGCGGGTCTCCATGATCAGTCAGCATATCCACTTCGAGGGATTGATCAAGATCTGTGAGTAAATCAGAATGTTAACCTGCAAACCAGAGGAAGACTCTGATCCCAGAGACAATCCAATACACCATAGTAAAATCGAAAAAACTAGCGATATATAAAGAGTTATCGCACACACTCATATGGTTTGCAGTGCGTTTGTGTGCGTAGACAGCAGGCAATAATACACGTGTACATGAGCGGCATCGCCTTTTCCTATACCCATTAGATAGGGCCGTGCCGAGCCCTGCTATAGAGGGGTCATCAAATTCATTCGGCAGTACATATTTACTATGGTAAAAATCCGTTCAGAGAACTTAAGTTTGTGGTCTTAAATAAAATGTTGAAATGATTAAGAACTATACAAAAATCTGTTGAATGCATATCTTTGTAGTTCACTCAGAACTGGCTAAGTTTTAAATGTGGTGTAAGAGTAAATATTGTATTTAAATTATTTAATTTAAATCAGCATCGGGCCTTGGAGGGCTTCTTGGAGTTTGAGATCTTTCAAGTTGTGGTCCTTCCAGTACAAGAACTGCAACTCACTCGAAAAGGTTTCAGATTTCCATTTGCAAATATCAATTTCAGAGAATATACTTTATGGTTCACACTTTTCTATCTTTGTATCTACAGCGCCTCTCTTCTGCCTGGCCACACTGTTCTTTGCGGCCGCGCTGCGTCCCTCGGTGCCGGGTGGATTCTATTTTCTCATCTTCCTGCTGGCCGGCACTTACTGGGCAACCTGCCAGACGCTGCAACGGTGCGTGCCACAATCAACTTAGAACGGACGGACGGACGTTTTCTCATTTTGCTTTTACGTTTTTACACCTCTTTGCAGTGGCTTCGCCATGCTGTTGCGCTGCGTAATGGTCGTCCTTGTGCTCCACTCGCTGTCCATCGTGTCCTACCAGACGCCGTGGATGCAGGGTCACCTCAATCACACCAGCCTGACGGCGCGGTAAGTTAATGGTGAGGTTTCTCCGTGAAACTGCAACTTATCTACTGCTTTTGGTCCACAGTCTGATTGGTCTGGAGCCGCTCATTGAATCCTACTGCTCGCCGGATATACGTGTCCTTTTGTATAATAATACCCTGTATCTGGACTCGTATCTGAATCCGTTTGCCCTGTTCTTTGCCTACTTTGCTTTGGCTCTGACCACCAAGCATCTGATCAAGCCCAGGGTGAGTGTCCAAGTTACAGCTGGAGGGAGCACTAGCACTCCTTTCGATGGATCCAGCTCATACCACGGCCTGGGGCCTACCACTAACACAAATCTAGTTACCAATTCTTTGCTCTGATTTTCCGCTCTTCTCCTGCTGCCATTTACATTCGGACAATCTGCTCAATCTTCAACCCCCCCCCCGTAACACACTTTCCCCGCACGCAAACAAAAATCTACACTAAACATTCCTAACAATAAACTCGTCACTAACCACACCACACGAAACCGAACCACTTTACCACTGTGCCACCACCTCGCAGCTGGAGGCAAAGCCTGCCACCGCCTTTGGCCAGCAGCTTGACTGCAACAGCAGCAGCCTCAACAACACCGGCAAAGCAAACCGCCAGCTGACGCTCCGCACCTCACAGACCTCGCGGGGCAGCAGTCGCAAGGACAGCTCAGGTCCCGGCGCTGGATCCACCACCGCCTCCACCACAAATCGAGCACAGCGCCTGAGTGTAAGCGAGCGGATTGATGCCAGAGGGGATTGGGACTAGGATTAGGGTTTTCCTGTATCGATTTGGGTTTCTGGTGTGTGAATGTGTAACACTTGGGCGGGGTTTGGGGCCACTCAAGGATTGGCAGAATAGATAGTAAATATTAATATCAGAGGGTAAAGGTCGAGCAAATATAACCGTTTTATGCCCTGTGAATCTCTAGAAAAAGAAAACAATTTACAAAAGCGAAATTATATTCATAACCCTGTAGCCGAAGACGATTTAAATTACTTATTGATTATTTTTCGCTTGAAATGTGCATTGATGAGGCAGTCAGTCGGACAAAGGGATATTTTACGCTCTCGTAGATTTCTTTAAACATCATCATCTATCATTGTTATGATTCAAGGGATAAGTACTTGCCCAATATTGATTTGACGTACTTTTTACTCTATTTAAATCTATCAGGTTGGGGAAGTTAGTTTACTGATTTCTTCATGACCCAATCCTTGAAAGTTGCGGGCCAAAATGATTCTGTTTGTAAAAATCGTTGGACTCGTTTATTACAGTTCGATTTACTGATGTAGCAGATTCACGATAGTTCCACTAAGATGTTACATTCGAAAAACTATTTTCCCTTCGGAATATTGCACCTCAATCCGAATGTGTCCGTTCGCTTGTGGGAGATTTGTACAGCTAATCAAACTATGTGCCTGGAGAGATTTTCAAGACAAACCCAATCAAGCTTTCGTTTCCTTTTTATTGAATAAAAATACTTTATTTGCTATTTGTGTTGTGCGCAAACTAACTCAACTGAATGTTTGTCTGTGCTGTAACCCAAAGATAACCCAAAAATCTTAACATTACTTGGGATGACGTTCACCATAAATATTTGTGTGCCTTTTGCCGAAATCTTACAATTTGTTTTGCGCTTTTCCCGCATTTTCCTTTATGTTTTGGTTTTGTTTTGATTTTTGTTTATGCTCTCTTTTATTACTTCCGCTTTAGGTTTCTTTGCGCCGTGATCAGCGCGCAGCGTTAAATGAACCGACAGAGACGACGCCTGTACGTAAACTAACTCCACTATTCGCCAAAATACTCCCTAACAACCTAACCTAATCATTAGACTAAAGCTAGAATCTGTATCTATCTATCTATATATCTATCTATCTTTTGGTTTCCGCTCCTGTAATTATTTGTATGTTAAAATGTTTTCGTCCAACATCTATGTACATATATGTATTCTAGAGCATTCGATTGTACTAATACCTTAGTAATCCAAGTCCCCAAGTCCTACTCGTACGATCTATCCTAACAAATAATATTGTTATCCCGAAACTAACCGTGCAAGTGTGTAGGACTGTGTGTGTGTGTCTGTCTGTCAGTTGTGGGCCATACAGCACAGTAACAGTAACAGTAACAGTAACCAATCAATAGCATACAACTCTCACCCAGATCTAGTGACCTACTAAGTATCACCCGTAGCTGACCTAGAACTCTAGTATCGCTCTCTGTATGTACATACAATACTTACCATGTGTTACTTACTATCTCCACTATTGTACGTCTACACTGCGATAGTACAGTGCAATGCCAAACTAATTCGCAAATCATTCTGTGTAGCTGGTGCGTCAGAGTACTCGGAAGGGGCGCACAGCCCAGCCCCTGGAGAGCGGATCTTCGGCAGCAGGGAGCGGCACTCAGCGTGGCAATGAAATACCGCTGGACTCGCTGGATCAGCGATCGGAGCAGGAGAACACGACCACCTCGATACTGGATCAGATATCGTATGGCTTTGTCAGTGTGGGGGGCTTCATCTACCAGAACAGCTACATATTCACCAATATTCTAATGATGGTATGTCAATTACAAAGCCCTTTCTGTAGCTACAAATAGTAGTACTCGGAGATGCCTAGATTACTCTGCACTCGGAATGAATCATGGGGAAAGCGGGAAGTTCATTTCTTAAGAAATTTGTTGTATTTCTCTCCTCTTTAGGCCTGGTCCATAGTGTACCACAGTTGGCTGACGTTCGTCCTCCTGCTGTGGGCCAATGTGCTGTGGATGATACCCAACCAGCGGAAGGCGATGATGCGGTCCAGTCCGTTCATCGTGCTCTACGCGGAGGTGCTGCTGGTGGCCCAGTACATATACGGCATGGACCTGAACAACAATGAGCTTCCCACGAAGGTCTCCGTAAGTTGAAAGGACCCAACGCGAATAATATCCTAACGATATGATATCCTACTTGCAGACGGCGGGCATCAATCTGCAGCAGATTGGGTTCGAGCGGCCCATCGAGAACCACATGCGTCCCTGTGTGCCGCTGATCGTGAAGACAGCCTTCGTGCTGATGTTCTGGGTGACGTCGCGTCAGTTCTTTAAGGAGAAGCGCGACCGGCGAAGGGACAGCACCCTGGCGGACATCATTGCTCCGCTGCAGATCACCGTGGGCTCCGCGGGGTCCAGCTACCTCATCAACGACGGCAAGAAGACCTCAAAGTTCCTAAAGAAGGCCGGCGATGTGATCAAAAACCTGCTGGTGCGCCTGTGGATCTGGCTGCTGGTACTGGTGATCTTCCTCTGCGCGATCACCGGAGAGAATATGACGGGATTCCGCATCTGCTACATGGCCCTGTTCCTGTTCTTCTTGCTGGTCTTTCAGTCCTCGTCCAAGGCCTGGGTAAAGATCATGTACGGCTTCTGGCTGTTCCTCATCTTCTACGCCATGTCCATACTGATCCTGATCTACACATATCAATTCGACAAGTTCGACACGTACTGGAATGACTATCTCAATGTGTCCAAGACTCTGTAGGTTATGCTGCTTGGCTACGAGAGAAGTCCCACCTCTAATGAAGTTTGCCCCTCTTTCAGACAAAACGACATTGGCCTGAAGCGCTACCAAACTAAGGATCTGTTCCTCCACCTGGTCTCGCCCACGATCATTGTGATCCTGACTGTGATCCAAGTGCATTACTTCCACAAGCGGTTCATTGCCTCGCTGCAACAGCAGCCGGGAGCTGGCGGCTCTGCACAGCAGAAACCCACCGAGACAACGGCCCTGGAAGCGGCGCACTCAAAGCGTCGCGGCAGTGCCGGCTCCCTGCGTCGCTCCCAGGGTCCATCAGGCGAGGCGGCGCCCGGCGGCGCCACCACAGACTTTGAGACCTCTGTGCGGGATCTGGTGCGGATATCCTTCCGGAAGATCAAGAACAAGTCTGAGTACATCTTCAAGAACTTCAAGGACGTCTTCTGGCGCTTCCTGGAGCTGCATATCATGAAGGCCGTCTACATCGCCGCCTTTGTGTGCAGCGTGAGCGAGGTCTGCGTCCTGCACATTGTCTTTGTGGGCTTCTGTGTGCTGGGTGCCACCTCTCGGAAGGCCATCCAAGTGATAATCAGCCGCGTGATATCGTTTATTGTCACCATCATCGTCCTGTCCAAGATGATCTACCAGATTGAGTACCTGAGCCACACCCAGTACAATGTCTTCTGCGTGAGTTGGCTTGTATTTTCTCCTACCACGATGATCTCTTTCTAGTCCGTTACCTCTTCCTTTACCTTCACCTGTTCCCGCTCACAGTCCGACAACCGCACGGCCAACAACGCCGAATGGGTGGGCCTCACCAAGGCTGAGAAGCTGGAGGGCGGCTTGATGAGTCTGCTGCGCACGTACATCATCTACATGGTGATTGTGACCATGCATGCCGTGATCACCTTGCGTCAGCTGCAGATGAGAGTGAAGACTGGAGCCCTGAATGCCACGCCCACCAAGCTGCTGTTCCCCAATATCATCCGCGCGGATGCTGAGAAGGATCTAGTGGGCCTCGTCAAGTACCTCCTGAACTATGCCTTCTACAAGTTTGGCATCGAGATATCGCTGATTGCCCTGGTATCCACCATCACCTACCGCCAGGACATTGTGGCCGTGGCCTATGCGCTCTGGCTGGTCGTCCTGCTGCTGTTGAGGCGTTCCCAGTGCGCCAAGATCTGGGGAGTGTTCCAGGCCTTCTTTGCCATCTCGATACTGATGCAATATATCGTGTTGGTGGGACTGCCACCAAGCTCATGTCTGGGTAGGAGCTAAAAGGGATCCTCATATAGAGCCTATGATGTTGATTGATATTGTTTCTTTTCTGGCAGTTTATCCTTGGGACGAGGGCGCCTTTGGGGAGAGCATCCAACGCTGGACGATGCTGCCCGGAGCCCTGCACTTCAACCATGTGCCCAAGCTGATTTTCGACTTCATCGTACTGATCATTCTGAACCGCCAGAAGAGCATCTTCTGCATCGAGCAGCGGTATGCCAGCAACGACGACTACCCCGGAGGCAGCAACCGCAGCGTCATCGCGGACATTGCCCAGCTGGGGAGGACGCCCTTTCGACAATCCCACCCACGACTTCTGCTCGTACATTCGCAACTACTCGGACATCCTGAAGAACGGGGTGTTGTGCGGCTTCTACTGGTTCACCCTGGCCGTGGTCTTCTTGGCCGGGACCAACATAGCCGATCTGCTGGCCCTGGGCTACCTCATTGGGGCATTCGTCTTCCTCTGGCAGGGCTCCGACTTCTATCTGCGGCCAATCAACACAATCATCAGTCGCTGGGAGTGGCTGCTGGCCTTCAACGTGGCCAACATCCTCATCAAGACGAGCTTCCAGATGGCCGGCTGCCTGTTCATGACGCCCCTGACCACCCACTGCTGCTGGCTGGTACACATGCTCGGCATCACCTGCACGAGCAACGTGCTCAAGGAGGAACTGATGCTGTCCGATGAGACGGACCTGATATTGGCGCCCGGCGAATGCCCTAAGATCACGCATCAGGTGGTTCTGCTGTGGGACACGATCTGCTTTGCCTTTATCATCTTCCAGCTGCGCATCTTCAAGTCCCACTACTTCTGCCATATCATCACGGACACGAAGGCCAACAACATTCTGGCCTCCAGGTGGGTTAATATCAAATAGCTTTGGATCATATCTGCGGTACTTACGAGCAACGAGCATTGCTTTCAACAACAGGGGAGCTGATATCATTGAGGGATTGCGGCAGAACCAGATTGCCCATCGACACGGCCACGAGAAGCAGGTCCTGCTCAAGATCAAGCGGAAGATGGAGCGCATTCGGGCCACGCAGCAGAAGATGCTGCGACCCCTGGACAAGCAGACGCATTTTGATGGTAAGTTGGCCTGGAAATCGCACCCGAGGGTGTGTGTTTCCTTCGTTAAGTTCCGTTATTCGCGTCGCGCTTTCCGTTTCAATTCCCCTTTTTGAATTTTGATCGTGGGGAATTGTCGCGTGTGTTCCCCCACTAATCTCTGGCTTGGCCTTGCCTCCGAAAGGGCAACGCACGCCCTCGGATCAGACAATGTCGGAGGTTGCGCCGCTGGCCCACAACAGCAGCTTCACCTCCTGCCAGGGCTCCGGCTATCTGACCCCTGACGAGCAGAGTGCCTCGAGCTCAGACAGCTCTTCGCCGGCCCGGGCCTCGCTCCTGTCCAGCTGCGAGAGCAGCGTCGAGAGCGTGGACAGTGCCGATGCTTGTGTGGTCATCGAGCCGGAGATCAATGTGATGCCCTGCGAGGAGCTTACGGAGTTCGTGGACGTGCAGTCGGTCAGCGAGGAGGAGGCCACTGTGGCAATGGCCCTGCCACGACTGGAACCCTTCGCCCCGACGACAGCTGTAAGTTTTGGGAATGTCCTGACCCAGGAGACTCCCCCTAAATGCATCCATTCTTCGAAGCCCACGACGCCCAGCACTGAGGCTCTGTCTGCCCTTCTTACCGAGGGGTTCCTAGAGCCGAAAAGGATCTCCCTGGGTCTGGCCTCCTCGGATATCAGTGCTCCTCCGGGTACCATGGATAGCCTGGCGCCTCCCATGGTCGCCTATGCCACCGCCATGGCCCACAGTGGGTCCGGCTCAGGCTCAGTGATGTCCTCGAATCTGACCCCGAATCTGCGGAGGGAACACCGTCGCCAGTCCTCGACAAATGCAGCTGTCTCCTGGAACGAGACCGTGTCCATCAAGCGATCGCCCCTGAGCAAGGAAATGGTAAAGTGGCCGAAGAACCCTCTCTGCCAGAAACCGACCAGAACTTCATTTCTCCCACCCAAACAGTCGGCAGAGCGGGAGGAGGAGGTGACGATGCGCCAGAAGTCGCTGCACCGTCGCCACCAGAGCATGGGCAACGCCAGCTACTCCTTGGACGAGGCCGCCCAGTCCTCCCAGGGCAAGCGCCACTCCAGCAACCTGTCGGGGGCCAGGGACGAGGCTGCCCTGCGCTCCACCCAGCGGCCGCATAGCTGGGGACCCGTGGGTACGGTCTACTATATGGAGTCGCTGATGTGCGCCTTCTATGAGCCCGCACTGCTGCATGGACCATGTATTGGATGAATCTTTGATCTAATTGAATCTAATTATCTTTGCTAGCATTAGTAGAACTCTGTACAAAGAAACCCATTCGATCGATGTGCGTGCTCAAGTTTTTGGCAATAAAACCATTGGGTGGGAGCCCCAAGAACCTGCCTCTCTCTGAGTCTGCCCTGTAAATAGCACTTGTCAACTTAGATGAATTTTTTCCAAATAAAATACTTCTTCATTGATGAGTTCTGACGCAATCAGAGTCCTGTGCGTCCATCAAAAAGTGTATAAATAAATTTTTTTTAATGGTCTCAATGCCACTTTCAGAATGACCAAGGCTTGTTTTATTTCCTATTCAGGGGCTGTATTATTCACTTACTTCTAAACAGCATGAGGAATAGAAAAGCGTCTAAAAACAACTGCTTTAAAAATAATATGGAATCTTAATCAAAATCATTTTAAAACAAATCTTTCCTGATATTTGATCTTTGATATTTCTTACAATACTCAAAATCGTTTTTACTCTACACTACTTTTAAAACTTGCTCAAATTGATACTTTTCATTTATTGCATTGAAAATTATATGAAATCAAAATGACTGAATTTGTTAACATTAACAGAAAGCTTTTTTTATATGCAAAGTTATACTTTAATTACTACAAATTTTTTTGCAATTTTCGTGTAATTTTTAATTTCAAAGATCTATCTGCTATAAGCATATTGAATGCGCCTGGGATAGGTTCAGAAATATGTATACAAAAAATATATATAAAATCGTCGGCTGGCCGAGGGTACAGCTATGAGTACATCTTGATTTTGATTAAAAAGAACCGTATATGTATTTCCTCGGTTTTTTATGAATTCTTTTAATTTATTTTTGTTTTATATTTGATTTGATTTTTTTTAGAACATGGTTATCCACTTCCTGCACCAACAGTACGCAGAAGGAAGGAAATCAAATTACATCCACATGGTAAAGTTTTCGTTTGTTGTGCCTCATTTTTCCCATACGAATATCCGCTCGTAAAGTTACCATGTATATAAAGTATATCCAATTATCCAATTACCTGCATGATTGTATGCCGCTCTGTAAATTGAATGCGAAATGAAATGAAATTAGCCCAAAAACCTTTCCCTAGCAAATATTGTACTATATTTGATTATAACTCTGAATGTTGTTGAACACCATTAAGGAATATACATACCACCTAGTGTATATGGATACATACGTGTACTGATTATGTTTTTTGGCATTCCCTAAAAAGCTACCCGGGCTGGCGACTACTACATGTTCGAGGAGATGGATGACAAATTCGAGCTGGATCTGATACACGACGAGATTGACTTCCTGGAGGAGGAGAACATGACCGAGAGCGAGATGAAGATGCAGCGTCGCAAGACCCTCTATGATGTGAGTTCCTCTACAGTAGTCCAGATGGAAATCTAACTATAAATCTATAAAACTATTGCATCCATCCTGTTGCATGCCGATTATCGCATGTCTATTGAAATCTATATAATTTCTTGTAAATTCCCCCGAAATTCCGACAAAAATTGCCCCCCTGACTTGTGCCCGCTAAGGTGTGGAAGGACCTGAACGATGCCGAGTATCGTCGTCACTTCTATATGCGCGAGCGATCCTACGCCTCTGAGCCGGGCTCTCGCATAGCTCTTAAGCTAGACGACGATCAGGACAAGGCGCCCGGCCATGACCTCGGACTGACCGATAACGATGACGCTGACGACGACGACACCATTGAGTGCGATCTGGGCATGCGCACGTCGACGCTATCCGAGCCGCTCGACTTCGGGCGCCGTAGCCAGACGCTGCTCGAGGATGGCCTCCCGTCGAGGGTTGTGAGTCTGAATGTGATTGTGATGGGAAACCAGAGCCTCCTCTTCTTCTTTAATTGGCGCACCACCTTGCATTACCGTACTTTATTTGCTCACCAGTTCTGCTCAGTTTCAATTATTCAAGTATTCCAACTGCGCCTGTAAGCCAACCAACCGACAGACAGTTGGCGCACCCACTTCAAATTGTACAAATACAACTACTATATATATTTACTATACAATGTATACACTCGTATATGCATATATATATATAAAGGCTTCGTTTTTGTTAAATCGTGTACATGTGAAAACTCCTTAGGGAAGTCTGAAGTCGTCTAAGTGAATCCTTTTATGTGCATCCCTCTGCAGAAATCCAAGGATGCTCCCGGTGCCGATTTCCCCTCCACAAGCAAGGGCATATCCAAGGAGCGGGATGCAGCCAGCACGGAAAGTCCGGCCGCTCCCACCCACGATGTGGCTGATCTGCCAGTGATTCCGCCGCCCTCAACCAGCTTGGGACGCGAGGCCCCCTACAAGGAGACATCCGACAGCAAATCCAAGATGGAAGTCGACAGCGGCGAGGTGACGGCCAAGGACTCGGACGAGGACTTCGACACGAATCCCATCATCAGACTGCTCGAGGGCTTTTTGGTCACCCTGACCATAAGACTGAACCGCTTCTCGCGCAACTACCGCTACGTCAATCGCATCCTGGCTGGCGAGAAGAAGACCCTGAAGGTAATGATAATCCATCGCTGAAATATTGAACTTTAACATGACTTTCCCCATTTTTTTCCCGGCAGGAATCGAGCTCCCTGAACCGTCTCGGCCTGTCGAGTGCAGCTGCCATGTTCCACTTCCTCAAGTCCAACCTCGAAAGGTATTTACAGGGCGACCCTGGGCCTCGGTCCCGTGTGCGCCGCTTGCGTTACTTTGAGTTAAATTTCTTTGATTTTTGGAAACTGGAAACCTTGCGTAGTCCATAGAGTAGCGTGTTTTGACGCGTTGCCCAAAGTTATACTACTTGTTTCCCTAATGAATATTGTCCTTTTGCGTTTGTTAAGAGTTGTGTTCCATTTCGATTCAATATTTATTTTTTATTCCTTCTCTTCTTTTTTTTATTTGCATATCCGTTTATCTTTTGTGTTCCGTGTGTTTGAATTCTGTACCTGCTTCCACACAACACTCTATCTGATACTCTCTCGAATCCAACACTACACACCTGCAACAATGTCTCACCACCTCACCACTTCCATCATGTTTCGTCTGCTACGTGTGTTACGCCAGCAATGAGAGTGGTGGCGAGCAGCCCGCGTCATCGTCCACGCCGCGGCGGCCCCCAGCCACGGCAGTCGTTACTCCACCCACGCCAACAGAACACACAACCACAAGCACCCCACTAAACACGAATACTACAACCACACCGCTATCACCACAAGATCCACCGCCACCAACAACAACCAGTACACCTGTACAACAGAATCAGCCACAGAATCAGCCTCAGCACAGTCGACACAGTGCTGTGGACGACATCATCGAACTGCCCGTAGATACGGTTGATGCAGCCACTTCTAGGTAACCAAAGCCACATTTGAAAGACCATTGAATTCGTGGGTGTGTAGATTATAAAATATTATAAACATATGGAAAGATAGAGAATACTTGGAACTTTTTTCTGGGATTCGTATCAAAGATGATCGTCAAGTACATATATTTGAATGTTGATTAAAATATAGTGTCTGTATAATGTATCTGTCTTAGCAAACGGCAAGCTTCATATAATTATATCGTTATCAAAAGATGTCTCAGTCTTGGCGTAAATTTTACTGTCATCCGCTCACACTATCGAGCGTGCACTGCAGCTTAAAAAATGTCCAACATTCTCTTGGAACTTTTACACACTACGAGTATAAACTGCATTCTCTTCTTCTGCACCTTTTCCATTAATTCCCCAGTAAATATTTCCTTCTTAATTTGTATAATTATGTTTTTGAAAAATCAGAAAATCAGTTTCCGGATTTCTGTTTGGCTGGAGCTAAATGAATTCGATATCTGCCATCGAATATATGCCTAAAATCTATATTAATTCTAAATCCTTACTAATTTCTTTTTCTTACATTTTACATATTTGTGCGCGCATTTCGATCATCTCAACACATTTTTGTTTTGTTAGAAAACAATCGATCAATTCATCGCCGCCAGCCAAGGGGTAAGTAGATCGAACCACACTAAGTACAAGCAATCCAATCCAATCGCAAGATCATTAAGAACCCAGAACTAACAACTGCATTCAACCATGTGTGATCTCGTGTCTACTCTCTAACACTAAGAGTAAAACTAAGACTCTCTTTTTACAATCTCCTAATATGTACTACTTGAGCAATTTCTTCTATATGTAAACCTCACCTACATCTCATTCAATTCCCTTCCTCTCCTCTCCTCACCATCCCTTTCGCGCATCATTCTAAATACGTATGCGTTGTACTATATACTATGTAGCACGATGCTTAGTCGCAAATCGGACTGTGGCCTGCCCGAGATCCGCATTAAAGCGCCTTCCATCGAGCGCGGGGCACACTATTATAATCATCATAGTGCCGGCGGAGGCGGGGGTTCGGGATCGCTCAGCAAGCACTGGTCCTACGAGCAGGTGGACAGGTACTGCTGCCCTTGCCCACTAATTAAGCGTTTTCCCCATATCCTTTAGAGATTATGTGTCCTTACCTAGCCCCCTTAATGTGTTGGTGTGTGTTCGGTTTGTGTTTGTAACTCTCTGGATCCGTATTCGTATCTGTATATCTGTCTCTATCTGTATCTGTATCTTTTTCATGCTCATACTCCAGCTCATGATCATGATCTGTCTGTCATAATTGTGTATATCTTTCCCGAACCTTTCCTTTGGTAATTGTAATTGTAATTGCATCTAACTCTGTCTCTGTCTGCCTTCCCATAAAGTTGTATTTGCTGCTATGATTTAAATCTATCCCTATGCGTTCTTTGCTAGTATGTATTGTTGTTTGGCTTGAATTAACCCTAGTTTAAGCGTTTTGTGTTCACGTTCCACAATAAGTTCAACTCCACGATGCACTCGCATGTACACTGTGGAGCATGTAGCGCACACATCCCAAAAAACCGAGCACCGAGCACCGAGCATGCTAGTGGCAATTGCCAGTCCTGTTCGGAGATATCAGGTATCTGAACGGAGAGCTCTGTATTAATGTGTAATCTTGGTGCACTTACAGCGCTGGAGACTTCAACTTGGAGGAAGAGAACTTTGCCCAGCGAGATCATCACATAATTGTGGAGGTGCTGATTTCCTCGTGGTACGCCCTGCTTGCCAACACAGATCTGATCTGCTACATAGTGGTGTTCATCAATCAGGTGAGTGGCTATCATACGAGTATGCCTCACTGGACCACCACTCAATTTATCATTCCCCTCTTGCAGGTCGTCAATGCCAGTCTCATTTCGTTGCCGCTGCCCATAATGGTCTTTCTCTGGGGCACTCTGTCCCTGCCACGTCCAACGAAAACCTTCTGGGTCACACTGATTGCCTACACGCAGGCCATTGTTCTGATCAAGTGTATCTTCCAGTTCAAACTGATCTGGGCGAATTATCACAACCTCCCCAACCAGCCCCTGACGGCCGCCAAGATCTTTGGTGTGGAGATGAAGACCCACTATGCTGTGTACGACCTGATGCTGTTGCTGGTGCTCTTCCTGCACCGCTACCTGCTCAAGTCGCAAGGACTGTGGAAGTCGGGCTACAAGGACACAGATCAGCAGTTTGCCAAGCCCACCGCCAGCATGTACGCCAAGTAAGTCCACAGGAAAATGAACTTCCCCTTGAAACTATATTCTCCTTCAAGCAGCGATGACCGAGACGACAGCGACAACCTGTCTCAACCCGACTCCCGCCACCTGAACGATGATGCGGCTCAGAAGTTGAGCCTGCAAGTGAGCCAAGCTTCGTTGCCGGGGTCCCCGGAGTACAGCAAGTCGGGCATCAATCAGCTAGAGTAAGAATACCCAAGAAACCAACAGGTTTTCCATTTGTAACTCTTTCAATTGCTTGCAGACGAACCAAGTACACCTCCTCGTTGCACAAGTTCTTCTTTAGTCTGGTGCATAAGTCCCGTCTGGCCACAGACGTGTATGCCCTGATGTTCCTTTGCGATTTTATAAACTTCTTTGTACTGCTCTTTGGCTTCACAGCATTTGGAGTGAGTAGAGTGAAGACGATCAGGCATCGCGACATCATTTCACTGAACTTGTTTCCATTCTACATCCTCAGACACAGCAAACGGAAAGCGATGAAGGTGTGCAGACATATCTGGCGGAGAATAAAGTGCCTATACCATTCCTGATCATGTTGCTGGTCCAGTTCCTGCTCATCGTCATCGATCGGGCGCTGTATCTGCGCAAAGCTCTAGTGAACAAGATTATTTTCCACTTCTTCTCTGTGATCGGCATACACATCTGGATGTTCTTCGTAGTGCCGGCGGTGACGGAGCGCACCTTCAACTCGCTGGCGCCACCGATCATCTTCTATGTGATCAAGTGCTTCTACATGCTGCTGAGCTCCTATCAGATCAAGTCGGGCTATCCCAAGCGCATTCTCGGCAACTTCTTCACCAAGGGCTTCTCGATGGTCAACATGATCGCCTTCAAGGTGTATATGCAGATCCCGTTCCTATACGAGCTGCGCACCATTCTCGACTGGGTCTGCATCGACAGCACCATGACCATCTTCGACTGGCTCAAGATGGAGGACATATTCTCTAATATATATCTCATACGCTGCACCAGGCAGTCGGAAACCGACTTTCCAGCGATGCGCGCCCAGAAAAAGGCTTCCATCTCGAAGCTGATTATGGGCGGCACCATTGTCCTGCTGATTGTCATTTGCATCTGGGGTCCATTGTGCCTGTTTGCCCTGGGCAACGCTGTGGGCACCTCCAATGTGCCCTTCCAGGTGTCGCTCTCCATCCGCATTGGTCCCTACGACCCCATTTATACCACCAACAACTACGATAGCATTTTCGAGATCGATCCCACGATGTACTCGCAGATGACCAATGCTTATATTAAGGATAAACAGGCTCTGACCTTCATCACTGGCTACGACGCAACGGATGTGGCGGCGGTCAAGCTGGCTGGGAACTCACCCTCCCTTTGGAATATAGCCCCGCCAGATAGGCAGCGTTTGCTGAATGATTTGAGAAACAGTAAGATCGATGATACGTGCTTACGGTGGAATGGAAACATCATTTAGTTTCTACTCGTTTCAGATCATACGCTCAAGGCCCGCTTCTCTTACACCCTTACACGGAAGGCTCCGGCCAAGGGTCTGAAAGAAATTGTAGGCGATGAGCATGCCATCTCCCTGGACGAGACTTTCGAGGGACGTGCAGCTCTCATTAATATGCTGAACGAAACCCACGACTTGGAGCCAACGGGCAATGACACCAGTACCAATGGAACCAATAGCACTGCTGAAGAAGTAGTAGTGCTGCCTGCCATGATACCAAAATTCATCAAGGTGCTCAACTCGGGCGATGCCGCTGTGGTCACTGTGCTGAGTCCCAAGAACGAGGAATACCGTCCTCTAGTCATCCAAATGCATCGAGACAAGGAGACAAACGGCCTGTGGTGGGAGATACGAGACTTCTGCAATGACACCTTCTACAATACCACTCTGAAGGAGTTCGCCTACAGCAACTGCACTTCCGGTATCGTGATGTATACCTTCAACGACAAGAAGTTCCCATCGACGTTCAGCTTCCTCACAGCTGGCGGGTGAGTTGACAGACTTTTATCCCGTGGAAAAGGAAGCTTTTAAATTTTTAAATGTTTTTCTCCCAGCATCATTGGCTTGTACACCACATTCGTGTTATTGGCCTCGCGCTTCATGAAGTCGTTCATTGGCGGACAGAATCGAAAAATTATGTTCGAGGATCTACCCTATGTAGATAGGGTATTGCAGCTGTGTCTAGATATATACCTGGTAATTATCCGATCATCTCATAAAAAATAAAAAGAATATCACAGTGACATTATCAACTTTTTTAAGGTACGCGAGGCCTTAGAATTCGCCTTGGAGGAGGATCTGTTTGCCAAATTACTCTTCCTGTACCGTTCGCCCGAGACGCTCATCAAATGGACCCGCCCCAAGGAGGAGTACGTGGACGATGATGCCGACACCGACTCGATGAGTGTGCGGCGGTCCGAACAACTGCAGCAGCACCAACAGCACCAGCATCAACAATAACATAGGCCCAACCCAAGCGCTTAAGTAATCTAGAACTGGTCTACGTATATAGTACGTATTGCGTTAGCGTAGGTTTCATAGTCTTTTTTAAACATTTTTTATATGAACACGTTTGTATAAGGACCTAGACATAGAGCTAGCTAGAGAGAAACACAAATCAAAACAAAACACAAAGGTACACATCACCCATTTATACGGTTTACAGATAGTTCGATTTTTTGTCACAAGTACTGCCCGTGTGTAAAACTGAAAAGGTCTAAAGTGTACACCAACTATTTTAAGCATACATACAAACTGTTCGTACAGTGTACACACGTGTGTACCGTACACGCAAATGTCTTTAGTCGTAAGTAAGCGAAAAGTGCTGCTATTTGTTAGCTAAACAAATGAAAATATGAATTGTAATTGTCTAAAGAGAGAAAATAATTTATTTAAGTTATTACTAAACTATGTGTACATCAGTGAAGAAAAAGGAGGAGGATAAACTAATAATAATCATGAGAACTCATATTCAGGGAATTTTAGCATTTTACAGAAACCGTATGTGTAAAGAATTAACCAAAATGGTAGCATCTAACAATGAATGTTTTATATATATTGATACGAAACAATAATAACTTGTAATTACCAATATCGATCGCTTCGAATAGCTACGTTGCCTCTATGTGCCCTTTACAGAATATTAAAGATATTATGTATATGTTGAACTGTTTGTTATAGATTGTAAATTGTACTAGTATGAATCTGTTGCAAATACTACATATATAGAGCGTTGACTTTAGTTGTAGGCATATCACATCACATCTATATTTTTATATTGAACGCAAAAATATCATTTGCTTGAGCGACCATTTAATAGGCAAATTCATATCAAATACTTACATACATATGTATGTGCTAGGGCGCGTAGGCTTTCAATCAAAATTGATCAACCACATATGTGTATATCTCTAACAGGCAATCTCTTATACATAATTGTAACTATACAACACGCCAACTAAATCTATATGTGCTATTTTATATATACTAAATCGAATTGGAATTGTGAATCTAAAAATCAAACTAGCGACGAAAAACACAAACAAAAAAAATGAATTTTTGTACCAAGAATTGAACAACATAAACCTTATATAGTACTATAAAAAGTGTACCTATTTTTTTAGTGTTTAATTTTTCATTATAAGCTTAAAGAATACAAGAAATACTTACGAACTAAAATAAAGAATCCAAATTTAATGTAATAACAGGAAATGTTTTTTAATTTATTGTTAAAGTACAAAGTGGCTTTAATGTATGTATGTGTGTATGTATTAGATAAAGGGCTGGTCTACACTCTGTCTACAATGCAGGCAAATGCTGTTCTGTAGTCTTTGAATTAATTTCGATTATACACACGGAATATTGAAGATTTTGGATCGGCCGAGACCAACAAAATATAGTAAAAATAGATAATCAAAAGTTGCTTTCATTCAAAAAAAAGTTTTGACTTCTGACGCAGTGATGCGAAGTCCATTAGATACTATTTAAAATAAAATTATCAATAATAATTGATTCGATTGAGGTTATGTACTTCCATGAATTTTTCCCGAAATTTCTGTTGTGGGACCTGTTGGTGTTATTTTCCTGGCAATTAGGCGACATATTTCTAAGCTGTAATGAATCAGTGCAGCTGATTTTAAATTCTTCCTTTGGTTTTTTGTGAAAGATGGTCTGCATTATTGGCTGTTCTGACGAGGCTGATCGTAATGTCTGTCCATAATTGTTTTAATATCTTTGATCGAAACGTAAGTTGTTTTTTTGTACACCATTCTGTCTGTTCAACTAATTGCGGTATTCAAAAGTCAAGGATGTCCTCACGCTGTCTGAGCTGTATTCTGTCCAGTTCTAGAGCTTTTGCAAGGGCACTTGGCATGTCTGGGGGTTTAATAGCAAATAATATATGTTTATTATCACCGTTAAATCCCATTATAAAAACTCGTAAGGCTTCCTGTATGATTTGTGTTTTAAGTATCTTTGTTAATTCATTCTCCTTTCCGTATTTCATAATTGTTGCATTGATTAGCTGGGTCATTTTCTTGTTGACCAAATTATAGTAATTTCTTGTTGAGAGATTACCTTGATTTAGAATACTCAGCTCATGTTCTAGTGTGTGTATCGGTCGTTTGTCGCTATACTCAGAGTCTAGTCTGGAGAGTATAGCGTCAAAATCTAATACTGTATCATAGTTAATCAATGCATTGCTTGCCGTCCCTATTATTTTGTTTCTCAAAATTAGCAATGCTATAGAGTACTGTCGACTACCTCGTCTATAAAAGCCCATTGACCTTTCCACGGCTTCGCGCCAACATATATATTTGTTAAAGTCACCTGCAAATGTTGGTACTGATTTGATAACTTCTAGTGTGGCGTCACTATCCGAAAAACCTCCGATTTGCTTATGTATTAGCCCTGCCATATTATGCTCTTCTTAACTTTATATTACGTGTCCATATATCTATCGGTAATAACTTTTTTTTAACTCGTCCAGTTTATTATTGTAGATCTGCTGTAAAATATTTCCCCTTTTAATATGGAAATATGAAGCTCTTCCTTTTTAAGAAATTCTTAAGCAAGAAGCTAGAAAAGAGAAGAGTGCGATGGGTACAAAAAAATCAACTATGTATACATGTACTCGTATGTGGTATATGTCAAGTGGTTATTTACTTATGTACAGAACTTCGGAGTGGCTTGATCGTTTGTTACGTCTCGGCAAAAGTGTGGAATCCCTTGGTCAGCAGTTGTTGCAGCCGATGTTTGGTGTCACGATTGTATGTTTTGGTACATTTGGTATTCAGCTGGAACCTTTTTGGAGAATTGTTTTTTATTAAAAGTTTTTTCTTCCTGTATTTTTTTAGTTTTACCAACGGTTTTATCTCTTAATTTTGAGGGAATGTATGAATTGTTTTTTTTATTTGTTTTTTGTGTTTGGATATGTTTGGGTTTTGCGTATTGTTAAGTGGATATATTCAGATTAATTGGTTGTAATCACACTTTCACAGTTTTAGTTACATCAGCGGCAGTACATTAGCAGGCTAGAGTATTCCGTACCCTTCCCTGAAATGTATGTATCTGCAGCTACTATTTAAATATTTTTCGAGGCTCAACTGGTCCCATTGAACTCATTTTCAGAACTGAAATCTCTTTCTTGTTTGAATCTTATTGAAACCTCATCATATGCCACAGATCATCGCCAGTTCCGCTTCTCAATGCAATTGTGTTAAAATGCTTACGTTGACAAGTTTGGCGGAGGGGGCCTTGATGTTTATGTTTAATGCTGGAGTGAGACTGGACCTAATGTTTACGCTTTTGGGGATGGCTGGTCTCAGTTCTGCTTGCCTTGCAGAGCCAATAATTATTTGTCATACTGTATGTCATACATAATGTATTGTACTTTATATACAGAAAGAATTTTTTTTAAGTGGTATGTGTTTCGTAGAATATGAGCAATAGAACTTACACATGTCTACACTTTCTTTATGGTGTCGGATGCGAGGTACTTGCACCCTATACCTGTGTAAAAAAAAACATACAGACTTTGTTAATCCTATATTCATTTATTTCTTAAAGCAGCACACAGTACAAATTCACAAATATTGCAAAATAAAACCAAGATCATAATTCTCCATTAGGGAATCCGCGTTGAACAATTCCGGTAGTGCGTGAACTTGAGCTCACTGTCCAGGCTGCTGGCACTCTCTGTGCTATGCTGGCGGCACAACTTGACGGCAGGATACACCTCCTCCCACTCCGAATCGCTGCGACTGAGTACGCCACGCTGACGCGGGGCTGTGAAGGAACTCTCCTGCGGCGATCGGGCGGTGGGAGCGGCAAGCACCACGGGCAACGGATTGTTCAGCATTTGAGTAACGCTCTTGGACAGGCGGATGGACTGGATGCGATTGTAGCCACTGCCCGCAGGCTTATAACGTTCCAATTTCAATGTCAGACGCGCCATTTCATTGCTCATCCACTCTGGAGCGCGCATATTGTTCCACGGCGAAGACTTTTTCAGAAATAAACCGAGCGTAGAAGCGGCCAAGCGCTTTTATAGCCAAGGGTGCGTGACATAAGGCCCAATCGATAGGGCTTGCATAAAGCGAGCTCAGGGCTGAGGGCCTAGAGCAGCCCGCTGCCACATTTGCACGGGTTTCCACCCCCAGTGCTATTGACCTATTAACTAGTACTCAAACACTCAGCCATGTAACAATTTCCATTATTGCAACAAAATATACATAACATTTAATTAAGAACTAGGCGAATGGCGAGGGACACAGAGAGACGAGTTAAATAAGAGAACAGTTTTGAATCAGCCACAAAATTCGAGCTAGTGGTGGGTCAGGTCAGTGTAACGGAGATATGCAAAGAAGTGCTATGTACATCTACTAAAGCAGTTTAGGACACCATTTAGGAGTTAGGACAATTTGCAGTTGTCGTCGTGCAGGCGATCGCCATCGATTTGAACATCTTCATCGTTGGTAGAGAATATTCCGCCCTGGAGAACTTTGTTGACGGCGGCGCGTGCCAGGTAGCCTGTAGTCTCTGAGTAGGGCAGCGAGTAGAACGTAACTAGATCCTCGTGCTTGACCTGTTGTGGTTGAGGCTGGGGATGATGTATATTGTTGTCTTTGCAGTACATGGCAAAGGCCTCGGCAACAATGCCATCCAAGTCGAGTGCTTGTTTGAAGTGCAGCTCAGGATTGCTGAAAACGATATAAGATAGATCAATCCAGGAAATGAAATTCATTGTGATGACTGCCACTTACCGATTGAGTATGGTGGCCACGATGCACAGCAGTTCCACAGTTATCTGACGCCGCTCCGGACGATCAATGCAAATCAGAGTCTCCTCAACCAGCAAATTGAAGGTCAGCTCGCCACGGCTCATGTTTGTCAGTGTGGGCGTCGCTGGCAAGTGATGGCCCTGCGTCAGGATGCCCTGAGGAGTGCGCTGTAGGATCTCCCAGATTTTGTTATAGAAATGTTTGGGTACACGGCAGAGGCAGCCCTCCAGCTGACGGCGTTGTAGCGTGGTAAGCCTGTTATGCAAATAGTTGTGATACATTTTCGGAGGGATTAAACAGAGTTTTTATTTTCCACTTACTTTTCTTCCACAGCCCATTCGCTGACTGTAAGCACTTTCTGCAGAAGGATGCGCACCTGGAACGGCGAGAGGTTGTCCACATCGATGCTCTGTTGTCCGGATATTTGCAAGTAGATTCTCATGGCCTCCAGCACCCAGCCAATGCGGATTTTAAGTATACCTCGGAACATGGATGGATTGGTGGCTATTAGACGGCCACAGTACAAAACAACCTCCTGTTGCAGCACCGCCTGAATGACATTGTAGGGCTGGACACTAGTGTACATGACATTCTGAATCTCCGCCGGAGTCATGGGCTTGTCGAACACCGTCTCCTTCTGGCCAATGATGCCTACTGTGAGTTCCTTGCCATTCACCAGGACAGTGGTGATGAACGGACTGATGGAGTCCACAATATGGTGGAGCAGGGAGGAGCAGTAGCGCACAGCACGCCAGTACCGCAGTGAACCAGCGCGATGATAGAGTTGGGTAAGAGCTGTGTTCACATTTAGACCATTAACTTCAAAGTTAGGACCCTCGCGGTTGAGCAGAATGCCCCACAGTTGGCACAGGCAGTAAATGGAATCGGTGTTGCGCAGGGCATTAATGATGTCCGGTGTGGGTTGGTTGTCAAAGTGCTGAAAGAACCCAAATGGTTACTCAGAAAATTCCAACCGTGAGAAGGAAAATCGCTTACCGCCACGGAAATCTTTTCCTCCACATAGGTCAACGCCTTGGGCACGTCAGTCAGCGACTGGTAGCCAATGTACTCGTGGTTTATCTGCGAGAAAGCGTTCTCGTTGTCCGTCAGATCGCTCTGGTTCATAAAGTCCAGATGCTCAATGCAAGAGCTGCTGATCAGGTTCTGTAGTCGTCCAATGCGCACTTTCATGCCATCGCAGTAGCCTTTCTTGAGCATGGCCAGCAAGTCGAGCATCTCCTTGAACTGTGGATCGCGCATGTGCTCTTCGCGTATCAGCAGACACACGGTGGGCCTGCCCGACAGCCGCCAGTACTTTCCCACGAACTGCAGCTCCGTCTTGATGTCGTCGATGAGCAACGCCATATCTCGGTACAGATAGAAGTCGGAGACCTCAAAGATCAAGGGGTAGCAGAGCACCGTCATGCC